TCCTGGCCTAGAGAAAGAGTGTATGATGATTATCAACCTCACCTCATGGAAGTCAACCCACAGTGGCTTGCTAAGTCCCATCAGAAGCCAGATGACACTGGCCTGCTTTTTCACTGAACTCTCACAGCAAGCCCACAGAGTTCTTTTTGTTTTTCTGAGGTAGGGTTCATGTGTCCCAGGCTTGCCTTAAACTCCCTAAGTAGCCAAAAATGACTCTGAATTCTTAATTCTCCTGCCTCCACCTCCTTAATGCCTGCATTACAGGAATGTGCCACCACGCTTGGCTCTGTTTCTGTCTTTCAGAAAGTAACATGGAGGTTCTAAGAGGGAAGGGACCTGAACTATTGGCTCGTACCCCAGAGTCTGTGCGGAGGGAACCAAGAAGGGTTTGCAGTGCCTTCGGGGTGGCCCTGGGAAGATCAAAGAAGCCACACCAGGAAGCAACAATCATTCCAGGCCAGCTGCATGCGTGCCCACTCTGTGAGGTCAGCACGCCACGGGCTCTCGCTGTTCCTGGCGACACGCTGGCATGCGGAGGCCTCCGGTGTAGCCTTCCATAATGGTCACCTGATCCCAGAGCCGGTGGGCACACAGCCTGAAATGTTTGTGCTCTGATGACCAACTGGCCTGACAGACAGGCGGGCAAGTGATAAGAGGAGACAGGGGAGGGCGCGTGGGGAGGGGCGGGATAAAGGAATCCCCCTCTCCCAGAAGCACTGATTACTTCTCTGGGGCCTCTGAGTGACAGTGACACTCTCCAGGGATTAAGCATGTAGTGTGGAAGCCGGGTCTCCCCAGGGGGTGAAGAGCCCTATGGAACTTAAATCGCTCAATTAGCCAGCAGCTAGTATTTCTCCCACATGCATGTCATAGCTCCATCACTTTATCTTCCTCCTGCCCATGAGGAATTCAGCAATGACTGGTTCATAGCACAAAGCTGTTCTGGATCCTACCTTCATTTTTGTCTCAACAGCGAACGAGAGAAAGTCTTTTCTGGGATATCCAGGCCTACTTCAGAACCCTATTTTTCCAGGAAGCCCGGTCCAGGTCAGCCTAGATTCTGCCACTCGGGGCCACTGGAATTCTGGACTCTGCCTGCACTTGGGTTGATTTGTTGCCAGGTTCTGAACCAGTGGCAGAAATAAGCACGGTACCCCGGGGCTTGGGGCTATGATGCTGGTGTCTCCGGCTTGGGATAACTGATTTTCCGTTCAGGGTCATGGGGGACCCAGCGTGGACCCACCTAGTGCTCCAGAGCCTGGATTTCTGGGCTCCCAACCTACAGCCACTTTGATCACAACACAGTACCTGCCCCAGGCAGTGTTAGAGGACGAGGGCCCGGCTGCTAAATTCCCAGCCAATGAGATGGAGGTGAAGCTCTCTCCTGCATCCAATGAGAGACGTCCTCTGGTTGTTAGGCAGAAAAGAGCCTAACTTGGGTGATGTCCTCACTGTTCCTCAGCTAAGGTTCCCGACTGTCTCCTTCACATTCAAATGCGCATCCAGTCCCATGAGTAACCACATTATTTTTAAACAGCATCTTTCAGCCGGTCTCTCCTGTTTTTTTTTTTTTTTTTTTTTTTTTTTTTTTTTTTTTTTCAGAGAGATGATTCTTGTGAAGCCTGGATGAAGCTCTTGATTGCTTACAAACATCTGCAGGAATGGCACGGAAGAGAGACTGGTGAACAGATAATGCCCACCAGCGGGGCCAGAAAAGAAACCAGGGAGAGTGGAGATAAGGGAGGCCAAGGATGGGCTGGCAAAGGGAGGGTCGGGTCCTGGCTTCCCAGTTAGCTAAACGGCTGTTGTTTCAATCTGTAAGATGGTCAGGAAAGGACCATCAAGCACAGTTGGTCAAGCTCAGTTGGTAAAGTGCTTGCCTATCTGGGTTCAAAACAACAACAGTAACACCAGCCACTTCCTAACAATATGGTTGTAAAAATTAGTGGAGGGTAAACATTCAAGTAATGGCAACAGTTGCTGCTACTGTCCAGATGAGCTAATACATTTGGGTCTGGATGTGTAAAATGTATTCTGAATTACAGGACTACTAGATTCTGATTGTGTCGACATGACTCCTGATAAAGCTGTGCTTTCCTTACATAACTGTCTCCAATGGCGCTGCTAGTGCATCCAAAAGGGCAGGGCTGAAATCTGAACAATACGCTGTCCAGCGTCTTTCTTTCATTCCATATGATGGATTTTTGCTTTTGAAAAAATAAACATTTCCAGTGGCAAGATGGATCAGTCATTTAAGGCGTTTGCATCCACAGCTGCTGAACTCAAGTCACTCAGGTCCATGGGGGAAACTGACTTCTGCAGCGGACCTCTGACTGCTATACATGCACCAATCAATAAAAATGTAATTAAAAGCTAAGTGAAAAACAAACATCTTGAGCCAGGCATGGTGGTGCATGCCTTTTGGAAGCAGAGGTAGGTGAATCTTTGTGAGTTCAAGGACAGCCTGATCTACTAAGAGAATTCTGGGACAGCCAGGGCTGCTGTTATACAGGGAAACCTGGTCTGGAAAAACAAACAAACAAACAAACAAACAAACAAAAACAAAATTAAAACAAAAACAGCAAAAAAATCATCTTATTAATTACTTGATGTTGTTAATAGCTGGTAGCTGAAGTCAATCGTTAAGTTTTATTGCTACTAAAAACAATGTTCAAAGTGAAAATTCAAGTTGGATAAATTTCAGTAAGTTTTATTCCAAATGTTTAAAGTCCACACAAGGAAAAGGCTCTTGCCACATCCGAATTTCTGGTGATACTTGCTGTTGATAATTTCTCACTTGTCTAATTTCCCCGAAGAAGTTCTATTTAGAACATTTAGTCACGATGCTCTTGAGAGACTTGTATTTTCTTTCAGGAAATCTCTCCTGAGCCGGCAGAGATCTCCCTGTTGAGAGCTGCCCAGTCGGAAGTAAGGACCTTTGCCTGCGCCGACCCCTTCCCCGCTGCTCATTTGGTTGCCTCTAGATTCTGCTGTCATGAGCGGTATCAGTCAATTCCCCTGAAAGCACAGCTTTGACGGTGGCTACACACAAACTTAGAGAAAAATTCCTCGGAAGGCAACTCCCCAACCAATTTTCTGTGTTGGAATTTGAAAATATATTTTTTCACTTAGCATACAAACAGCAGGCTTCCTTGTGGCATTCATACTTGTCTGTCTTTGCACCTTGCCCGTGTTTGCTTCCTCACTGTCCTCCCCGTCCTCCCTCTTCCCCTCTCCAACCTTGTTGCAATGTTAACGGACAAGTGCAGCTCGCAAGGAAAGAGGCCGCAGCACTTTTCAGTTCTTGCAGCAGAGAACGAGGTGTCTCCCAGCTCCCTGGCTGCGGGGGCTCGAGACTTTACCATCTCCTGGTGTACATACAGGAGGGGCCGCACACCTGAAATGACCCCTTCTGCAGAGGAGTGATCGCATCAGCCAGAAAGGTAGGTGACGTCCCCTCTGAGTCAAGGGCAGTGAGCTGCAGAACAGGCTCTGAGCGCCAGCTCTGCTGTTCAGCACCCAGCGACCTTGCACATGTTCTTGAAGCTTCTCTGTCTGAAAAGTGGTGGCATTACATGAACAGGCGTGAGAAAACAGAGTCTGAAAGCCAGTGATATTAATTATCTAGGTTACAAAACAAGGCGGGGTGCAGGGGTCTTTATCTTTGTGTGTGCGCCTGTGTTTGTTACTTCTAGACAAGAAGTGAGGAAAAGTAAACTCATTCTCAATTGTTTAATGTTTGACTTGGAAAATTGAAATGATTGTTCAGATCAACCCAGGTGATGTTCTTGGGGATCTGGCTCAATCACCTTGAAGGTTTCCGTCTCAGTGCTGTCCTTTGCATCACAAATGGCAAAAACTAAGCTGTAATCATGGAAATAAGATTTCTGGGGAAAAATGCCTGTGGATCATGTTTTGTTTGTTTGTTTGTTTAAGTTCAAATTCAAATAAAGCAAAAAAAAAAAAAAAAAAGCCCCCTGAATGTGTTCTTTTTCCAAATTCCCCCCCCCATCCTGGCCCCTCCCCCCCCACCCCCCCCCCCCACATCCTGGTCCCTCTCCACCATTTCCACCGAGAGAATCCCACAGAATTCCATGCTGTTAAGTCTTTAATGGCGGCACTAGCGTGGCGTCCACACTGTCCATTTCCTGAGGGTTTGAAAAATACCTTATTCTGTCAGCTAGGTTTGAACTGTAGAGTTCTGCCTGTAAAAACCTTGGCTCTAAATCCTCCTGCAAGAAACACCCCGAACCCTGACGTGGAACCAGGCCCTCATTACCCCTAATTTACTCAGCATTTGCTAACCAACCTGCAGACAGGATGTCTTTGCATTGGTGCACTGCAGTCCAGACTCGTAAACAGATCTGTCCCGCTGACCACAAAGCCTTTCCAGAGGTCTCAGAGCCTTCTCCCGCAGAAGTTTCAATGGAGACATCTGGGAAGAGAGTTGCAGTGTTGGTTTCAGGTCATTTCCCTCTGGGGTTAAGGGAGTGTGTGTGTGTGTGTGTAAGATGGTGTGCTTGGAAGCCATAGTCAAGAATTTAGACAAAAACCAACTGCAGAAAACTGGACAAGGCTTTCTAGCCGCACGTCTTCAGACAACGTGCTTGTTTTTTTTTTTTTTTTTTTTTTTTTAAAGACAGGCTTTCTCTGTGTAGCCCGAGCTGTCCTGGAACTCAATCTGTAGACCAAGTGGGCCTTGAACTCATGGAGATCACCTGCCTCTGCCTCCTGAGTGGAGTGCTGGGATTAAAGGTGTGCACCACCACTGCCTGAATATTTTGTTGTTAGATGTAGTTGTGTGAACTGCGAATGATGTGAGGTGTAAGAATAATTGTAATTGATAGCATAAGTTTATAGGATAGAGGGAGGGGAGAGCACACGCCCACCGCACGGTAGGGTGCCAAAAGCACAGAGGTTTCAAAAGGTAGAAAATTGACAGAAGAGTCAGGAAGGAGGAAAAAACGTATCTTTCAGAGAGTTCAAGTAATTGTCAACAGATGTGTGCAGGCAGGACTCCAGGCCTGGGGACCGCTGGAGGCACGCTGGCTGGAAGCGCGGAGCCTGGCTACCGCGCCCAGGTCCTGAGCGCCGGCGGCCCGCGCAGCCGGAGGGCGCCTCGGGTCCCCACGGCCCTGCTGCGTCCCAGGGCCAGGTGTCTCCCCGACGCGCGGTATCTGAACCTCCCTTCACCTGCGAAGCGTCAGTCCGCGGGTGCCCAGCTGCCACCCCGGCGCACACAGGTGTCGGGGGCAGGCGGACTCGGGGCAGGTAGCAGAGCCGGTGAAGCCTCTTCCTTCAAACTTCCGCGGAGATGTGCCAATAAACACGAGCGAAACCTGTGCCTGGTTTTGGTTTTGCTCTCAAGGGGTCCGGGTGGGGTCTTTTGAGTGGAAAGAAAAAGAAACGAGCCCCCTGCTACCCCGCCCGTCGCCTCAGGGTCCCCCGGAGCGACAGCGGGAACTGCCAGGGAGGTGAGCCCCGGGCCTGACCCTCTGCGCCCGAGACTGCTGTCCCACCCGCCCGGAGAAGGATGTGGCCGGGTCGGGTCGCTCCCGCGGCGGGAGGATGCCCGGCCCCGGGCGCGCTGCGCGCTGCACCGTCGGCGGGACCCGGCCGGAGCCCGGCGGCTGTGCGCCCCGGAAGGAGCCGCGGGGCGGAGGGAGGCCGGCGGGCGTGTCGCCGTCTCCCGCGGGCGCCCCGAAGGGCTCGCGGCGGCCGCGGCTCTGCGTCCCAGCTCCCTGCGCCTCGGGTGGGCAGGCACAGCTGCCCCGCTCACCCCGCGCACAGCAGCCCCTGGGCGCCCGGAGACGCCCCCCTGTCCCTGTCCCCTGCCCCCCGCGCAGCCGCCCAGCGGGAGCGGCGGGAGGTGGAGGAGGCGGTGCCGCGGGGACTGTCTCCTCCCCAAGCCTCGCGTCTCCTCCTCGCGCTCCCGAGAAGGACAAGGGGACTGGGCACGGGGACCCCGGCCAGTGAGCGCCCGCGTTCCGGGACCGCCCCTCCCGCGCGCTCTCCGCCGCGAGCCCGGGCCGGTGTCGCCGCGCGTGCTGTTGGCAGCAGCCATGAGCCAGGACGCGGATCCCAGCGGTCCCGAGCAGCCCGACAGAGATGCCTGCGTCGTGCCCGGTGTCCAGGGCCCCCCCGCGCCCCCGTGCCAGCGAGGGATGCAGCCCCTGCCGCCGCCGCCGCCGCCAGCCGGCCTGCCTCAGATCATCCAAAAGTAAGAGGGAGAAGGGCGCGCGGCTCGGGGGCTCCGGGGACACACCCCAGGGTCCCGTGTCCCCCCCCCCCCCCCCCCCCCTCCCCCTCTAGTCTTTGCTAAGCTCTCTTGTCCAGCTCGGGTCTGAAGTGTTGCTGGCCCTCCGGGCAGGGTCCCTGTCATTCTGCTCAGACTGGGGAGAAGGCCGTCAAGTTATTCGGGGGAAATGAGTTCTTGTTTCCCGCATGTTCTACCTTTTTTCCTTCTGGAATGTTCCTGGACCTTTTACAATTTTAACTACATAGGCTCGAGGTTGAGGAGAGTGGCCCAGAGCCTTTTTTTTTTTTCCTTCATCTTCTGGTCCTTAGAGACCAAGCGTGAGCGTGCACGCCTGGCGAAGGGTGTGCGAGGTGTCGCCAAGAAGGACAAAACCACCTTTGGTGAAGTCCGCGAGAGACTTTTGGGCATAGGGAGTTGAGGGCCTGTAAGCCGCGCGAACAGTTTACAACACGGCCCTTGCAGAGAGCTCTCCGCGCAGAGAAGGTCCCCGTGGGCTGCAGGGTGAACTTGCGGTTCCAGGTTGAAAATTTCCATGTCTGTCGTGGGCCGGGGTGGCCAGGGTCCCGGGAAGCCCCTCAGCCGCTCTGTGGAGCTTAGAAAGCAAAGTGCTGATGTCTCGTCTCCTCCGTCCCTAAACAAGTTTTGTTTTGACAGTTTGAGGCCTAGAATGTTGGATTATTCGAAGGGTCTTTGATTTTGCTTCAGGCTTGGTCAGCCTGTGACAAAGTCCTGAAAAATAGTTTAAGAATGAGTGCTTCCACAAAGCTAACTGACGTTAGACTGGTATATGTGAACTCAGGAAAACCTGCAGGGGAGCTGAAGGTTTTTAGGGTGGCTGGACTCATGTTGGGGGTTATGTAGACTCACTACAACGTGCTACGAAAATAACAAACGTGGAAATGTAAATGAAAGCAAACAGTAGTCAAATATTAATGACTTGAAAAACTGAGTTACATAATACAAAGAGTGAAAATTCACATTTGCCATCAATAACGGTGGTGTCGCATTTCAGGACAAAATGGTTCCCTATCTGTTGGCTGGTCCAATCCCAAAGTACTATTTCCCTTATAAAGCTTTTGGCCTTAAACTTTGATATTTTACATAGCTTTCAGCTACTTGCAATTTGAAACTTTTTAAAAGCGAAAACATTTCCTAAGGTTGTTTTTTCCCCTTGTTTTGTAAAGCGTTTCAACAAATACTAAAGAGGACTGACAATTTATGTAACTCTTGAAGTTTCTTTTTCCTCCTCCACATAAATATAAACCAACTGATAAAAACTGCTTAAATCTAAAGTTTACTTACTAAAACATCCAGGTTGATCAGTTATGAATATGAAACACTATCTTTCTCCGTGAACCGGTGCTTTGTGTCCTGATACCAGCCTTCTTGCTGTTTATCAAAACCGCTGTTTTCAGTACTTAGCCTGCATTTTCCCTCAGTTTTAAGTAGAAGAATGCTAGAACTTTTTATTTCCAGAAAAAAATATCTTTATAGATAGCTGTTTGAAGTATTGCCAGATTAAAAGAAAAAAAAAAAAGCCAATTTGTGGGAATGGATAATTTAAGATATATTTTAGCTTCTTCACATAATTAATAATATAAACTATACATTTACACACACACAACACCGTTTGGAAAGTTTCATCTCAGATATATGTAATTTTTAAAAGACAGGAGGGATGCTTTTAAAGATGGCCCCTTCTGCTTGTAGGCCTGGAGCCCTTCGGAGCGCCATGGGCTGGTGACGGATCCATGTTCGGGACAATGTCCCAGGCGGGTGGATGGACCCTGGGATTTGACAATCGTGCTCTGACATTTCAGAGCTTTATAAGGAACATTTGGAGTGTGCATCTGCCTCTGTGGCACAGAAATTCCCCTGGAACTGGGCGCAGCCCTGCAGGTACTTCGCAGGCCCATCTGCAATGCGCTGAAACCCGAGCGGGCTATTTTGAAACTACGTTTGCATAATTTAATCTGAGCGACCATTTTTATGTTGTTAAGAGGGACTGTTTGCATCAGCCATCTTTATGAAGAGGTAGCCGGTTGCCTGCCTTTGGCCGAAAGTGAATTCTCTGCCCCACCCAGGATCTGGAGGCATTTGTGAACTAAAGCTGTGCATTAAAAGTTTTTTTTTTTTAATTGAAACCATATTAAATATTCTAAGTGCGCCTTTGGTTTTTGTAGTTAGTCCAGTGAGGTCATTACGTCATCCCTAAGTTTCACTCTATTTCAAATGACGAGACATCAATCTTCAGGTCGGGAAGCATTTAGGGATTATGGGAATCTTTTCACCTTTTAAGATCAGTGTTGGCTGATTAGCAATGGCTTTCATTCTGAGCAAGGTCAATGCCATTGGAAAAACCATGGTGAAGATGAAAACGGGTTTTCTTCTTAGAGCTGCACTTAACTAATGAAATACTGGAGATTCGAGGATGAACAGTGTGACTCAGCCCGGTGTTGGTTTCACTGGAGTCCGGCTCACTGCCCTCCTGCTCATCTGTGGAGCCCTCCTGTTCGAATCAGGTGTACGTCCTTGTTTTTCTTATCGTTGTGTTTTTAACTTCAGTTGAGGGCCAGCCATGTCCCTGTTGCTCCTGGTTGTCCCTGAGAGTGGACCAGGTTACAATCACATAACGAGGATGCTGAGAAAGTTTTGTTTTAAATATGTGTTATGCAAGTTGGCCAAAAGCGGGACTGTCATTGTATCACATAAGGCGCTACCTAATGAGTTAGGAAATCAAAATAATTTTATTTAAAAAGAAAGATTTATTTCTCATGTTAGCAGAAGAAAATGTTGGTATTTGTTGTGAATGTTTTTAGCAGGATTTATATTCTCAAATATTGATGCTAGCTTATTTTTAAAAGTATTTTGTTTTAATTATGTGCTTTAAGATCAAATATAATATTTGATTCATAAGACATTACAAACATTGGACGACAGGCATTCACATTTTAGATTATAAGTTTCTAAACATCAGAATAAAGATAGAGTTGCAACTGTGAATGTCAAAGGACAGATGGGATTACAAGACATACCACTAAGTATGAAGAAAAGTACCAAACGCACATACCTTTGTGAAGTCAACCAGAAGGATGATTTTTCTAAATTATTTGACTTGCTGCAAGATTGTTTTATTAATATGAGGCATCAGGTTGCACATTTAGTTTGAGTATGGGTGAACGACTTTCTCCTTTCCAGGTCGTGTTCAAGTAAATAAAAGACAATTGGTTTAGCATTAGATAGCTGGCACCCCAGCACAACAATGTTGCCTTATGCAGACAGGAGTCCAGCCTTGAATTACCCTTTCGTGTTTGCTTAGTGTTGGTGTTTGAAGGCTCAGTACTCAGAGCGGACCGTGTTACAAGTAGCCCCTTCAGCAGCAGACGGTTCAACAGACAACCTTCACCCCGGGGCTCTCCACGCGACGGGTAGGGTATGTGGTATGCAGGCAAATTCTGGTCTGACGTGATATTCACCCACTTTGCTTGGCGTGCTGATAATTCTATTCATAATTAGAGGGAGAAATTAAGAATTTGCCAAAAAGGACCACTACCACACAGACATAGCTGGAGGACGGAGTTTCCAACATCTGTGTCAGTTCCTAACATCAGTTTGAGGCCATTTTCCAGGGGAATAGGAACACATTTGTAGAAGGAATTTTGGAAATTTTAAACACCGTCTTAGACTACACGTAAGACAATATTCTGCAGGGAAAACATCTGCAAGGATTAAGCCCGCCCGAGCAGGGGCGAGAAAAGACGCCTCGGTAATGCTCTGAAGTCTCAGCTTCTCCAGAAAGCCTGTGCAGGACAGTTTATGTTATAAATGGAATTTTACTCAAAAGTTCCCCTTCCCTTCTAAGTGTTTCTGGATAATAAGTATAGCCGTCCTGTTACGAGTTTTTCTCAAATTGCCCGAAAGATCAGTATTATGAAATGTAGGACATTATGTCCTTTAGTCACAGTAACTGAAGGGACACATGGCGAACTGCTACGTGCCTACGTGGAGGAGAGAATTTTGATTTTGCTCTTATTCTTCTATCTGCTTCTTCATTTGCTATCACTTTAGTTAAGAAACTAACAAATTTAACTGGATCCTCTGTCAACTGGAGTTGAACTCTGGCTGGGTAAGATCTTTTGGCCTGCCCTAATAGTCTGGGCTTGGGGGTTCTCAACCCACACGGCAAACGTTCCCATATCAGCCAGTTTCTCTCTCTTCTCTGATTTGTTTTTCTTTCAGGTGTAAGGTTCTTGATGGCAGTTAAAACTGATTTTTCTTCCGCTGCCCACATGCTGCCCCAATTCTCAAGCAAATAAAGCAAATAAATCACAGCATTGATAAACACAAATACACAAAAAATGCTGAGCACTCACTGCATGTAAATTAAAATAGGCTACACTAACCATGGAAGCTAAGCATGGGAGAAGCCTGAGCCAATGGGAACCCCAAAGAGGAATTTCCCATCCTGTGGTGATGTAGTTTGGGGTGGCCTGATTGGTGTTATTTTGTATATTTTAACATGAAGTTTCCGTGGATCCATTTGGGTGTAAGGGACTGTCTTTGGAGTGACGTGAAGTTTTGCTGATAGCAAAATGATCTATGAAACAGGATTAGAGCAAAGACGGTAATTCTTGTTCAGCCGGAAGCAGCGTGCAGTCCTCCATGCCTGGCTAATGAACGGGGGTGATCTTGGTACTCTGTCTGCTGCCATCCTTCATGTGGCCTGTTCCCACCTGTCACAGCACAGACTTCCTGGTTCTAATTATGAAGCACATTTTGAATCTGCAGTGTACACTGGATTTCCAGCCCTCCTGGTGGGCTTAGGGAAGGCTCAGTGGGTGGCCATTTCGCCCAATTGGGACCTAGGGAAGTGTCAGTCTTTGACATGGCGAGTTTGGGGACTGGCCTCATCTCCTGCCATTTGGGGAGGTGATTGAAAAGAAGGGATCCATCCCTCATAT